AACTAATTATAAGCAACATAAATTGTGCCAATAGTTTGAGAGTGTTTGGAGGGGAATAAAATTAGATTGTTAGTAGATTTTGACAGAATTTTTTTTTAAATGTGTGGTTTAAAAGTTGTGAAATATATAAAAAATGCAGTTAATATTGATTGTTTGACTTTGACTTAGATTAAAATCCGATCAAAATCTTAGCCAAATAGGGGCTTTATCTTAATACTACATGACAAGAGCTTTATCATATAAGTGGAGAATCCTTATAAAATAGGTTGTAGTATCGTTTTGTAGGGTTCGAATTTCTCGTGAACGAAATCGAACTTTTTCTACTTTGGATTAAAGTTCTTCAAAAATTGATTGGCTCTGTGTGAAAGATAAGAACTAAAGTGATACAAATCAATTAAGAGTTCAATATGATTCTCACCTTTGTAAGTATATTGGATGTTCTAATTGAAATGCATGTTTTCTAATGTCTAGGCGAATTAGAATGTACTTCACAAATTCTTATGTATTTATGGATACATTTTATGACAATAATTTAATTCGATTGAAATATATGTTAAATTATATAGGTTGATTACTTAATTCATTGAGCTTAAAAAGCATTTCTGCTCAAAGAGGGTCCTTTGAAAGGCCTCTGTGATAGGGGCACCTGATATAAAATTTAAAATTTCTTAAATTATCAGATCAAGGGCTGAGGTGGTCAGCCTCGTCATAGGGGCTCGTCACAGGCCCCTGTTTGTGTAGCATCATTCGGCTAAAAATTCCTAATATTCTCTTGTCAATCAGTTGATAACATTTCAAAAAAATAAAAATAAATAAAATCGAATTTTAGAAACCAATTACATTATATTTTTAGTCTTATGTAAATTTACTTAAAAAAGACATATATAAAATTAAGTAAAAACATATCATTCTATATGCATCTACTAATATTTATTTTCAATAATTATTTTTTGGGCCTTTTTATATATTCTTTAAATTTGTGTTCAACTAAAATTCCAAATAATCATAAAATGTCCTCTTCAACTAAAATCAAAACAATAATGGAATAGAAACTCCATTTGATGAAATCATAAAATATTCAAGATTCATTAGCAGAACAAGGAATTTCATTTGATGATAATCTAGAGGCTAAAAAATCAGTAGGCTAGAAGATAAAGTTAATAAGAAACCAGTGAAAATGCACAAAAATCTATAGGTTCATCAGAAATGGGATTGGTTCGACTTCGTGTATGTTCCATTATTCTCTTTTGAACATGTACTCATCAATCTTTATTCCGCAGGAAAAATTGATTGCTAACATATGTGTTTGCAAGAAAAAGAGACTAATAAGGATAAAAAGAATTTCAGTCTAGCGAGGAAAATAATCAAGGTTACAATTCTTGTATTAGCAGAATTCTATAAAGAATCAATCATTTGACCCTAAAATTAATATATTACAATACAATAAATTATGTCACTCAAACAACCATACCAAGACGTATGTGTGACTTGAATCCTCATTTGTAGAGAAGGATGAACAAATGAGGAATACGGAACTTTCACAATGGAAGTTACTAGTCCAATCGATGAGTCTGTACACATTTTTGTTCCTTACCTATGTTG